ATATTATCTTAATCATGATCAATTGACAATAATACATGATTTTCGAAACTTTTTTGGGTGGCGATTTTACCCCGGTCAACTTTGTACTAGATGATCTTGATTTGACTGATTCATTGGGTAATTTTGGCAATGCTAATTTCAGTTTATAGTTATATTTTGCTGGCTGCCGTTGTAGCAAAGACTTGTAGCAAAGACTGAATCCGCATACCATCTGCGCAGATAGTTTCACGTATATAAGTTATCAGCTTAAGTGAATTTTCAATATTCACTTCAGGATCTTGGGTATGAAGATTAAATGAAAATAGATTTTCATGGTGAACATAGACTAGCCTCGACTGTTGTTCATTATATACAGGTTCAAGCATGCTAAAATGAATTGTCGTTGCATTTACTAATCCAATATGTAATCGAACTTGATTGACTTCATCTTCTGACGGATCATGTGCCAAAGACAAAATCCGATTAAATTCATGAGTAGCTTCTGCAATAGCTACGATATTGTCCTTATGGCATTCAAACCCATTTCTCTCAAATTCTACCAAAAAGAATGCAAACTGGATGTCATCTTGATTGGTTACAATCGCAGAAAAATCAGAACGTGATGAACCACATCCTGCATTCCCAGGTATTAAGTGCTTTAATTCCCATACAGGAAAAAACTCTGAATGATGAAGAGAAAAAGCAGTAGACAGGATCTTGGACCAAAGCTCGATTTTTATGTGATTTTCGGAAGGCATTCTTCCGAGACCACAGGACGGAGTAGGCTTGTATAAAAAAACAGCTGATATAACTGTAACAACAGTGAGAACATCAAGGCCATAATAATTCGATTTCTTCCTAAAAAGATCCTCAAAGAATGTAGGAAATGTCAACCAGCCAATATTTTTGTTGCCAAGTTTCTCTTTCTTTTTTAATGCCTCGAGTGTTGTTGCAGCAAAATGAAGTTTTTGATCTGCATGATCTTGCAGAACAGCCGCAACGAGACTAAACTTAACTCGTGGCATTGAAATGTTATTTATTAGATTGCTTTTCCAACCGACTTCAATGAAACAATCTCTATTTACAACCGACCATTTTAACATTTCAATTAGGTGGCGCGCACGCTGTGAGTCCTCTTCTATATGATGCTCCTGCAAACTAAAGATTAACTTGCTGTAAGGCTCAATAAATGGATGAATACTTGTATCAACAGTAATTACTTCCCGTTTTCTTTTTCACAGAATAGGAGTCACCATCTCGTTTTTACTGAGATCTTCAAAATTATTAACTCTATGAATCTCTGGTTCAACACTATCAACGTCAGTATCTGCACTCTTAAAAGCATGGATTCCACAGCAGTCTAAATCATCACTCATAGTGTCATCACTTAATTCATCAATGCTGTCATAGTCGTTGGTCCGGTTGTTGTTAACGTCGCAATTGTTATTACTAATATTGATGTTACTTACTTTTGGTGCCAACACTGAAGATTCTTCATGAATATTAGTGTACCTTTGTGCGATATCGGGTGTCTAAATAAAAAAATATCGAATATTATTTTGTGTAATTAAACGTAATTTTACTGTAAATACTGCCGATACTGTCCAATTGCATGCAATTTTTATGTATTTACAGTTAGGCAGTATATAAGTATCGACTATATAAATATACTTACCATTGACTCACTTTCTGTGATATACGTGTCCCAAAAATTACTTACAAAATTAGAATTTATTTCGTGCTTGATAAAATATAAAATAAATGTTAGCACGGCACGTATAAAGCAAAAATGGGTTATTTATAAGATGTGCATAGACATTATTGCGCTAACTATAGTCTATCTAATTTCAAGTAAGGTTTCGATATCTGATTTTTGTTTAAAGTAAGATTTCAAACATCGTGGGAGGGAACACAACCAACCATATAATCAATAAATTATATACTCAACGACGGAGCCGAAACCTTTCCTATTAGAGTTAAAACTCACAATAGTAGTCGCTGATGTGTTTATATACACGAAGCTTGCTATAAAATCTCCTAGATATCTAATTTCTACATAAAGAGAGATTTCAAACTTTAGGGGAGGGAACACGTAATATCTACACAATCCAAATAGACTATGTACTTAACGATTTCCTACTACCAAGCTTGCAATAGTAGTCGCTAATATGCCCGTAGGCATGATATTCGCTATGGTCTCCTAGATATCTAATTTTTGGTACAGTAAGATTTCAAACTTTGAAGGAGGGAACACAAACAACTACATAATCAAATAGATTATGCACTCAACGACGGAGTCAAAACCTTTCCTATAGTGGGTTAAAATCCACAATAGTAGTCACTGATGTGTCCGAAAACACGATGCTTGCTATAATCTCCTAGACACCAAAGTAAGATTTCGAACTTTGTGGAGGGAACACAACCAACCATATAATCAATAGATTATATACTCAACGACGGAGCCGAAACCTTTCCTATTGGGAGTCAAAACCCCACAACAGTAGTCGTTGATGTGTTTATATACACGAAGTTTGCTATAAAATCTCCTTAGATATCTAATTTCTGCTAAAGAGAGATTTCGAACTTTATGGGAGGGAACACAAACAACCACATTATCGATAAATCATGTCTTAACGACGGAATCGAAACCTTTCCTACCGCAAACTTGCAATAGTAGTCGCTAATGTGTCTGTAGACACGATTGCTTGCTATAATCTCCTTAGATATCCAATTTCTGGTCCAGTAGGATTTCAAACTTTACAGGATGGAACACAAACAACCACATAATAAATAGGTTTGCTATGGGCTCCCAGATATCTATTATTTAAGCTTTTCCTATTGCGGGTCAAAACCTGCAATAGTAGTCACCCATATGTCTTCATCTTACGCAAAAAAAAATTTTATACATACTAAATAATTATCCATCGCTTTATTTATCTTGTTGTAAATTGTACTATCGAATTCATAACATGTCAAGATTCGTTCTAGTTCCGTCTTATAACGTGAGTGCTCTCTTTCTTTCTGAAGTGACCCCTTTTGCGTGCTTTCTTTTCGATAGATTAGGAAACTTATAAGGCTAGGAATCGTTGTCTTGCTCCAATATTCTAAAAGATCAAAAATTTGTTTAAAAAACAAAAAAAGTTGTTTTGATTTCACTAAAATAACTGAAATAATTACTAGGATCAGACAATATGTCCGTGCACGATTTCTTGAATTTCATAATGTATAGGTCGAATAAAAATTAACTTTTTAGTACACAACGCGTTTTTTTTTCGTATGATAGTAAGTAATTTTGATTTTTTGAAACCTACGTACTTAAGCCGCATTACATCTATAAAAATCAAAACAACCTATTTATTAACCCTACTCAATTTTGTTGTATCGTTGTGGTCGTGTATGTGCCGGTTTTTTGCTATTTATGGCTTGC